CATGTTCCACCCGGGAGGGGAGGCAGAGCCGGGACACTGCTCTGGGTGGGAGTCTGGGCTCTTGGGTCACTGGTGGGGGGGAGGCAAAATGTCCGGGTTCGTTTCCAGCATCTTTGCTGAATCATTGCGATCCTGAGGAGAGTTCCTCCACCGTCAGCTCTCTGGCTCCTCCGTGATGGAAACCAGCACTTCCCAGCTCCTGCTGCAGGCCTGGCCCCTCTCCGGCCTGGGCTCGCAGAGGGATCTCTGCCCCGCTCCCTGGCCCATGTGTGTGCAGGGAGGCTCAGTGTTTCTGACCCCTAACTTCTTCTGAAACTGTTTGGAGACACGTTGCTACACGCAGACAACTGCCGCGTTGCTTCACAGAAGCAAAAGAGCTGGTAAAACCCCACCATTGTCCTGGGTGCTGGAAGTCTGGGTGCTCGGGTGGCTTCAGCAGGCCAGGCGAGCTGCAGGTGTCTTCCTTCGGCCCTTGGGGGGGGGCGGTGGGGCAAGGTGATACCGTGATGTGGGCTCTTCAGACAAGCAGCAATTAAAATAAAAGTTTGGAACCTGGACTTCAACCAGGATGTCGTAGAGCCCCTCGGGGGAGGGAAGGAAACTTCAGGAACTTGGAATTTATAGTGAAGCAATTAGGCATAAAGGAGTGCAAATGCTGAGTGGCTGGCATGAGCGTTTTTCCCTCCTGCCTGAGGTGAAAACTACGTATTAGTGAAAAGCAGCTGAAAGAAAGCAAGAGCTAATTTTAAGGAAGCTGTTTTAGTTGTTCTAAACCTGACGTGTAGAAGGTGATGGACGCTCTCCTCAGCGCAGCTGATCTGCTGAGGTACTGTAAGGTTCGGTGACCGGTTGTTGAGCTTTCCTCCTCCTTGCTCCCTGGGCTGGGGTAGGACGGTGCTGGACCCTCATGGGTTTGCTCTGCAGACCATCCGCCCGCCGTACGGTTTGGTGGAGTACAGGCGTGACGGGTGCTGGCTTAGTTTGTGTCAGGTGAGTGACCGGTGACGATTTACAACCAAACCTTGCTTTCCAAGCGTCACGGCTGACGAGGGAAGAGAGGGGTTATCCGTGTGCAGCGTAACTGCGAAAAGGGCAGGAGTTTCTTGTTCTCTCTGGAGACCTAAATGCGAGAGGCAGGGAGCTCGCTATGTGTGTGAGTAGCTTGAAATACCAAGTACGTTTCTCTGTATAAATACAGTACTAGCTTAGCTTTTCTTAATTTTTACGTTGCCGTTGGTAGGTTCTATATCGGCCCAGAAATCTGAGGTGACTGTTGAGGTTAAACAGGTTGCGTGGAGGCTAAATAGCTTGTGTTGTGACATTGATACCAACGTGCCTGTTACAGACCAGTGCCACCAGCCAATCCTCTCGTTACTGGAAAAACCAGGTGCAAAACACTGGGAGCAGATCGGGTGGTGCGTGCCTCTTGGCTTCTAGCGCGATGACTTCCTCCGGGCGCAGCGCGTAGCCCGTGGCCTTGCCCACCCGCAACACGCACGGCCCCAGCGGTGCTGCTGGCATCCCCCGGGCCTGTCCTGAGCCCGCGTGCGTGTGTGCGTTCGCAGATGTTGGGCTGCCTCTCGCTTGTTCTCTCTGAATTTCAACTTGCGGGGCGGTTGCACCGTAGCAGCTCTGTGCCGGGAGAAGCCCGGCTGGAGTTAACGGGACTGCCGGTTCCGGTAGTCTTGGTGGGAAATAGCCGTGTAACCCCCTGGGTCGTAACGCGTGGAACAGGAGCGTTTGAGAAACGCAGGTATGCGGCGTGGGGATGACTTGGGTGCTTGAAGGAGCGCGCCTCTCGCTGTGCCTTGCTGGCTTGGCGGGTGGTG